TCATCCAGCTCTACACCTTGTTATCTCTGGAGTTCTGCAGGGGTTCAGTGTTGGGACCACAACTATTCATGTTATATATTAATGATCTAGACAAAGGAACTAAGGGCATTGTTACTAGGTTTGCAGATGGTATAAAGCTACATGGAGGGACAGATAGCGTAGAGGACAGGCAGGGGTTGCAGAAGGACTTGGGCATGCTAAGCAAATGGGCAAAGAGGTCGCAGATGGAATACAATATGGGAAAGTTTGATATGAAGAGTAGAAGCATAGATTATCTTCTATGGAAAAGGCTTTGGAAATCTGAAACACAGAGACTTGGGAGTCCTACTTTAGGATTGTCTTAGGGTTAACATGTAGGTTCAGTTAGCGTTTAGGAAGTCAATTGCAATGTTAGCATTCGTTTCAAGTGGGTTAGAATGCAAAAGCAGAGATGTACTGCTGAGGCTGTATAAGGCTGAGCCGAGACCACGTTTGGAATATTGTGAGCAGTTTTGGGGCCCAGATCTAAGGAAGGATGGTGTTGGTGGAGGGTGGGGGATTGGGGGGGCGTGGTATCCAGTGGAGGTTTACAAGAATGATCCCAGGGATGAAGGGCTTGTCGTATGAGGAGCGGTTCAGGACTCTGGGTCTGTACTCAGTGAAGTTTAGAAGGACAACCAAGATCTGATTGGAACTTAGAGAATACTGAGGGGCCTGAATAGAGTGGATGTGGAGAAGATGTTTCCACTAGTAGGAGAGACTAGACCTGAGGACACAGCCTGAGAGTGAAGCAATGCCCCTTTAAAACTGAGATGAGGAGGAATTTCTTCCATCAGAGGGTGGTTTAATCTGGAACTCATTGCTGCAGAGGGCTGTGAGGCCAAGTCATTGAGTGTACTTAAGTCAAAGATAGGTTCTTGATTAGTAAAGGGATCAAGGGTTACGGGGGATAAGGCAGGAGAATGGATTTGAGAATCCGTTTTGATTCCAAATTCTATCCTCCTGCTTTCCCATGATGTTTCCCTTCCTTGATTTCACTGTTTCCATTTCTGGGGATAGGTTGTCCACCTCGTTAGCAAGGCCCATTTCGCTTGCTTCTGCACTCTTTGTCTTATCTGTCCCTCTGAGATCAACGATAGGTTCCCCTTGTTCACCCCAGCAGTATACACATTTAAGGGAATCATCCTCCATCTATAGTTTGCTCACATGCCAATATTTCTGTGATGGGCCTGCTGCATTCTTCCAACCAAGATCAACATAAGCTGAAGAAATGACGTCTCATTTTATACACCTTAAGGACTCAACATTTGAGTTCAACAACTACAGAACTATAGGACTGGCATGACGGCTCAGTGGTTAGCATTGCTGCCTCACAGTGCCAGGGACCTGGGTTGAATTTCAGCCCCATGTGTGCAGGCTAGATGGGTTAGCCATGGTAAATCCGGGATTACAAGAGTGGAGGGGGCTGAGTCTGGGTGCGATGCTCATTTTGGGGTCGATGCGGATTTGCAGGTCTTCCTGCACTGCAGTGATTCTTACAGGGTGACATGGTGGCTCCGTGGTTAGCACTGCTGCCTCACAGCGCCAGGGACCTGGGTTTGATTCCAGCCTTGGGTGACTGTCTGTATGGAGTTTGCACGTCCTCCCTATGTCTGTGAGTTTCCTCTGGGTGCTTCAGTTTCCTCCCATTGTCCAAAGAAATGCAGGTTAGGTGGGCTGGCCATGCTCAATTGCCCGTAGTGTCTAGGGTGGGAAATGCAGGGATAGGATAGGGGTTGGGTCTGGATTGAATGCTCTTCGGAGGGTCAGTGTGGACTTGATTAGCCAAATGGCCTGTTTCCACACTGTAGGGATTCTGTGATTTTTATGAACTTAACACATATCCTTGATTTTGTTTCCTTTCCCCAGTCATATCTAGTTTGTGTGTCATTTGGTTGGCAAGGCCCACTTTCTTCTTTTCACACTTGTAATTTGTATCGATCTTCTATCTCAATCTCTCCTTTACCACCAGTAGTACTCATTTTGTCTTTAGCTCTGGAAACCCTTACCAACTGTTCGACTCACTCCTCCTCCCACCTCTGTCAACTGTGTTTTTTAAAAAAAACATGATTTTCCAGCCCTTTTAAATTCTGAACATGTGCAATTTCAGACTCGGGACATTAACTCTACTTCTCTGTTTCCTAATGCAGAGTTTTTCCAGCATTT